ATTATCTCATCCTCTTATTACTTTAGGATTCATGCTTTACTTACATGATCATCTCATATTACTCACAACTTGTTATTACCCATTGAACCAATTTCTTGGGATCTTCAGTCATTTAGGTCGGGTTACCATCATGAGCAACTCATTTTCCTATAGGCATTAGTCCCATCTTATATGATGTATTATAGGCTTTCTCTCTAGCTAATCCTTTCTTCAAAGGATCTCCTAAATTTTCATCAGTGCGTACATGATCCACTTTTACAGCTCCTTTAGATACAACCTCTAACAGTGTCGTGCTTTCTTCTTATTTGACGTATTTTACCATTATAATAACGATTCTTAATTTTTGCAATAGCCGCGGTACTATCGCAGTGAATCAACACAACTGATATAAGTTTTTCCCATAAGGGAATCTCAGTTAGCAAGCATCTTAACCAACTTGCTTCTTCACTAGCAGTCGCTAATGCTATATTCTCAGGATAGTATGTTTCTTTGATTTCCAAGATACAACTCCTCTATCTATGTTGAATACATAGCCAGTAGTTGCTTTGGAATCATCTGATAAGGTATTCCAATCTGCATCATTGTATCCTTCAGGTTCAATAGGAAATCTCTGATAATGTAAACTGAGATTCATGGTCCTTTTAAGTTACCGTATGACTCGCTCAATAGCTTGCCAATGTTCATTACTCGGTCTACTAGTAAACCCGCACAACAATCCCAAGACATATGCAATGTCAGGTTTAGTACAATCAATGGAATACCTAAGACTTCCAATGATGCTCGCATGTTCTGTTTGTCTAACACTTTCACCAGTGTTCTTAAACAGCTTCATGCTTGGATCATTTGGTGTGCTCACAGGTTTACTGTCAAAATAATTATATTTCTTTAAGATCTTTTTTACATATTGTGATTGATAAAAAGAAATTCCTTGCTCGGATTTTGTGATCTTGATACCAAGAATCACACCCACTTCTCCGAGGTATTTCATATCAAAGTTGTTGCACAACACTGATTTCATATCATTAATGGCCTGAATGTTTGATCCAAATATGAGTAGATCGTCTACATATAGACATATGATAGTGCAAATACAATTCTCAAATTTGTAATAAACGTATTTGTCACTTTCATTCATTTTGTACACATTTGATATTGTTAAGTTGTCAAACTTTACGTGTCATTGCTTTGGAGCTTGTTTTAGCCCATACAAAGACTTATTTAACTTACAGACCTTGTTTTCTTATCCATAGATCACAAATCCTTCCGGTTATTTCATATAGATTTCTTCTTCTAAGTCACCGTTTAAAAAGTTATTTTAACATTCATTTGGTGTACTATTAAGTTATAAATAGCAGCTATTGAAATAAGTACCCTAATGAATGTAATTCTAGTGACAGGAGAAAAGGTGTCGAAGAAATCTATATTTTCTCTTTGTCTAAAACCCTTGGCAACAAGGAGAACCATGTATTTATCAATAGTTCCATCGGGTTTTAGTTTCTTTTTCAAAACCCATTTACAACTGATTGGTTTGCAACCAAGAGGCAAGTCTACTAAGTGCCAGGTCTTGTTAGATTCTAGAGATTCTATCTCATCGTTGATAGCTTCTTGCCATAAATAAGCATCCAAAGATGACAAGGTTTATTGAAGATTAATTGGATCTTCTTCTACATTATAAGCCGCATAATCAGGCCTATAGTCTTTAGCAACTCTTACTCGTTTACTTCGTCGAAGTTCTGTTTCTACATTGTCGTTGCTTTCTGTGCTTCTTATCACAAGAATGTGACTCGATTGTGTGCCCCCACTATTTCTCAATTTGAAAGGAAATTTGTCTTCATAGAATTCAACATCATTTGATTCTATGATCCCTTTTGTCTTTAGGTCATAAAACCTATATGCTTTACTGTTTGTTGCATACCCAATGAAAACACATTCATATGCTCTACTAGCGAGTTTAACTCGTTTCGAATCTGGAATTCTGACATAAGCTAGACAACCCCAAGTTATCAAATAAGACAAGTTTGGTTGTCTTTTCTTTAATATATCATAAGGATAGATCTTACATTTTGACTTGGGGACTCTATTCAGGACATAGCAAACAGTCAATAAAATTTCCCCCCACTAGTGAGGTGCACCACCAGAATTCATCATAATTACAACAACAAGTTCAATAAGAGTTCTATTATTTCTTTCTGTTTTACCATTCATTGCAAGATAGTATGGTGCAATTGTTTCATGTACAATTCCATATATAAAATTCATTAATAAACTAGAATCATACAATTTATCTATCACTACAAATTCTTATTATATCATTTTCAAATTCTTTACAAAAATTTTAAACATATAAACTTCATTCTTCGTAATGGCGTACAAATCTACCCCAATAGTCTGACTAAACCCTGTCTTATTTAAAAGAAAACCAGAAACAATATTCTTTCTAATCTTAGGAACATACATAACGTTCTTTAAGATTGAAGTCTTTTTGAAGGTGAAATTTAGCTCCATGTCTACAATTCCAGCAACATTCGTGGTCTGACCATCTCTCAACAACACTTTCTTATCTTTAGTATTCGTGTATGTTTTAAACATAAAACGATCATAACAGACACAACGAGAGACGCAGGTGTCTATCCACCAACCAACATATCCATCAACCATGTTGATTTCAATGACTATAGCAATAAATTTTCCATTAGTCGGGTTGACCTGTGCATTAGGGACAACACCAAGTTCAAGCTTACTTCTACATTTCTTAGTCATATAACTTGATTTTCCATAGTTAAAACAAAGGGAAACCAACGTAATTTCTTTTAGGTGGTGGTTGTTGTCTAGTTGGAGCTATTGGGATCATAGAAGGATTCCCATTCTTAATTCGGTTCACAATATTGCGGTTCTGATTCTTTAATCATTTTCCAAATGGCTTCAGAACTACACCGAATTTCTTTTTGTTGTTTGAAACAACCAAGGCTTTTTCTTTTTGATATTGTCTCTAAGATTCCCTTTTTGTTTTTTTAAACATTCAAACTATGGAGGTAGTTTGTCAATAATAAAACCAATTTGAAATTGTTCATTTAAACACATATCTTTTGTGATGATCTTTTAAGCAATTTTTTGAAGTTCGTAACATTGAGCCTCCATCGACCTTACATTTTTGCATTTGATACTTGAAGTAGCGGCTAACAACATACTTCTTTGCTCCAGCTTCTATGTCATACTTCTTTTTCTGGGTCTCTCAATCTTATTTTGCAGTATCATATCAACTGTAATTATCATACAGATCATCTGCGAGTCTATTCAAAATATGATTTTGTAGAGATTTTCATTCTCTTTCTATAAGGTGATTTCTTTACTATGCTGTAAATCATTCGCTTTAATTTGTGCAACAGATTCAACTTCAACACTATTAAGTGTTCCTTCTAAATCTCCAGATTTACTACCATTAGTTTGTTCGATTGATCCAGAAGGAGCAACAGAATGTCATCGATCAGAACGTTAGCAACTTTTTTCAACGTTAAGAACTTCATCGTTTGTTGCCAACGTTTTAAGTGACTTCTCTCAAACATGAACGGTTTCTCAAAGACAATATCCGCAAAAGAACCAATAATTTCTTTGGTAGCCATGGCAGTTTGAAACGTCTTAAAATTGTTATTTTCGGATTTTAAAATATTTGCCACCAAAGAAATTATCAGGTTGAGTCGCGGACTAGGTCGCTCTCTTTAAGACGTTTCGCGACACTGCTCAAAATTATGCAAAGCAGTCAAACTACCGCGCCGCCTCCAGGATAAAACAGCTCAGTTCAAAATTATTTGATGATGTGACTGTTCCGAAAGGAAAGGAAAAGTGGGTTCTTCTATGTGTTTAGTTCGAAGGCTATTGGTCCTGGAATTTTAATTTCTTCACTAAGTCGCTTTCACAATAGGATAAGAATGAATTGAAATCTCTTTACTACATACTTAATGAGGTAAATCATATCCTATTGAACTTTGATTCTTTGTTTGGTGTCGTGATCCCAACAACTTTTCGGTAAAATCGACATACTCAATTCTTCACCACCTTGCTCTGAGTTCTCATTTCGTCTTCCCTTGGTCAAGTGCTAAAGATTAATTGGAAAGCAAAGATTTTTTACAATGTCTAGGTTTTTGTGTGGAGACTTTTTTTGAATAAACTTTTGTGTGGAGACTTTTTTTGAATAAACTTTCGGTTTAAGTCTAAACTTAAAAAGCGCGGAATTATCAATGGTTTCTATGATCTGGTATGTCCTTTTTGTTTCTGTCATGAAGAATTAGTTGCTCATCTTTTTCTGTTTAATCGATGCTTGGCGGGAATCAAGTGTTGGCTTGGTTGGGTTTTGGGAGCTTTCATGTCATTTTCACAACTTTGATATTTTGTAGATTTGCTTATCGAGAAGACTTACTTTTTTTTAAGTTAAACTTCTCTCTTGGGATTGCTTCGGAGCTGGTTGTAATACTTCTATTCATTCTACCTTCTTAGATTGACTTGACAACTCTTTATTATGTATTAGATTAGTGGTTGTAGGCTAATGTTTGAACGATCAATTCTACTTTTCTCTTTGTATTAGGTTGAATATCCCTTATACTCACTTCAATATATTCTTTTACAAAAAAAAAGAGTTTTCCTAGCAAAAAAACTTTTAACCTACAAAATTACTCCACAGTTTACTTCTTTCTAAAAGCTCAAGTGAAGAAAGAAAAATAAATAAATTTTAATTGAGACGCTATCAAAAATAGAAGTTAATAAAAACATGTCTTGCCTGTATTACTTCTTATGCAAAATAGATTTTTCATCTGTTAGTCCAAGTGACACACTATCATGATGCTTAAATAAAGATAATTGTAAAATCTGCAAATATCCAACGCAGAACTTATAACAAATTCATATTTTCTATAGCTATTCTATTAGTTCACTCTGCGGGCGCGTGTCAGACAAAATCAATATTTCATGGTTCCAAATGCAGCAAGTGCCATCTCCCAAATACAGCATCAACTGTAATGTTCAGGCTTCAAGACACCAATGTTAGGCAAATTTCTGTACCGTTCATCAAAATCCATTCCATAACCAACAACAAAATTGTCTGGACACTGCATCAGAGAAACATGTAAACATAATCAGTATATCCCAAACTCAATGTATAGTAGTAAGACCATCATAACATTTCATGTCAGCTCCACAAGTCTTATGGTACAAAAAAATGTCTATGGAGATAAAGAAACTGGTATAGTAGAAAATTAGAAAACTAAAATAATCATAAATGCAGCATAGCTAGCCAACAATACAGTTTCACGCGACGGTATTGATAGTATATCAGAAGCAATAGACTCCATCTCTTTTGAGTTTCCATTTAAAAGTTTAGCTTAAGCTAATATACCCAGTAAGTACGTAAGAAAGAAAAGGTTAGGGAGAATGATTATTTGTTTAAAGCTAAGTATGAAACTGGCAAATCAAAGTTACATGATAATTATGATAGTTTCAGAAAGCCCTTTACTATACAAAGACAACTTTATCAACTGTAACTTCTACCTATGGCATTTTAAATCCGTTCAAGTGGCATGTATCTGACTGCAGGATAAAAAAAAAAAACCTAAAAAAACCGATGAAAGAGAATAAGACAGCAGTGAGATCAAGATACCTCAAATCCCCGGTAGAATTTGCCTTCACCCACCAGCTGTACATTAACTTTTCTCCTTGCTGGTTTGTCAAGAAGAGTGCATACAGAAACAGAGGATGCTCCCTTCAATTTCAAATGTGAAATGAGTCTAGATAAAGTATGTCCTGTGTCTACAATGTCTTCAACCTAATTATCAATTGAATATTGTTGATTTAAAATATTTATACTTACAAAAATAAATACATAATAATAGGATTAGGAAATATGGTTGAGGGGAGAAGAGACACACATACCTGGACAGAAGAAAATTGAATAAAGTGAAATTACAATTGCAATTGAAAAGTAAAGTAAAATTTATTGTTTTCTTCAAACTTTGTATTTAAGACCGTGATATTGTACACAATGTTGTCAATAGTGTGCTACAGCATAATAGCTGTGACTTTGAAATGTAATATCATGTTCTTGCACATAAATCGACATGTTCTTCCGACTTCAGATTCAGTTCTATTTAGTTTTTCTTCTACGATTAAGTTTTATTGTTGTTCTATTAAATTTTTCTTCTAGTTTAAGTTTTATTGTTTTGGACTTTAGAGTCTTTACATATTTAGTACAAGGTCTCTTAAAATTTGTGTATTTTTCTATTTTTGAGGATTTATGTTAATTTGCATCATGATTTTTAATCTTTGAAGTGGCAACTATCCCACTATCAGTTATAATATTTTAGAGGTTCGGTATTTGACCTCAACAACATCCCATAACAATAAGGCTAGCTTCAACTTAACTTTAAAAAAAAAATCGACTTCCCTATAAGACTATGTTTGGATATTATGAAATGAAACGAGAGGAATGGAAAGGAACAGAGTGAAATGGAGCAGAACGAAGCTTTCATTCCATCATGAGTATTTTAGGACAGAGTAAGGCAAATTCTCTATTCCACCCAAATTGAAGGAGAAGAAATATGATGATAAGTGATAGAACAGAATAGAATCCATACCACTCAATTCCGCTTTGCTACATCAATTAATTTTAATTGATCCAAACAATAGAATTTTATTGCATACCATTTCATTCCATCACATTTCATAAATCTAAACACACCCTAAAGAAAAATAATTAGAGCTTGTTTATTTAAGCTAACAAAAGTGATTTTAAGATTGCATAAAAAGTCATTCATATAAAATTAAAACTCTTCTGCATTTGTTTATGATTATTGTACAAAAATATTTTTTTGTTTTTGTCTACTTTATGAGGGGGCTATGATTCTCCCTTTGAATTGTCTACTTTATGACTTTCTTTAAAATAAAATACACAAATCTCCCCCATCCAAATAATAATAGTATACTAGTATTATTCTAATCATCATTCTCTCTCTTCAATATCTTTAGTACACAAAAAGTGTCCAAATTTTCATTAAAAACACCAAAACTCAAAGCTAATGGACCAAATCCCCTAACAACTCACCAGTAACAACACTTACACTTACAAAATGAATAAAACAAGTCAACAAAGTGACCAAATCTTAAAAGTCAGAAAATTTATTTCCCACTAACTGATCACAAGCCACAACATTTATAAAAGAAAAAGAACAAGTCAAACTTAATTTGATAAAAAAACCAAAAAAAAAATGAAATAATAGAAGTAAATCCATTAATACAGGAACATTTTTAGGGTTAAAGAGAAAAGAATACCAAAATGACGTGTTGCCCGTGAACTTCCACCTTCAAGTCAGAAGAAATGGTAGGTGCGCCATTGGAGACAGTTCCGGAGCCGTAGGATTGAGCTCGAACGAGATCAACGGTGAAAGGGAGGTCGATTTTGCGAACTAGGTCAGCGAGGAATATGAATGCGCCGGTGGCGACGCCGATAAATACGGGAGGAGGTGAGGGCGGGGGAAAGTCGTGGACGATTTGGGCGGCGAGTTCGGAGATTCGGTGGGAGATTTGGTCTTCGGTCCAGAGGATTCTGTCTAAGTGGGGATGCATAGCCATGGCGATAGCCGCAGAGAGCGTGTTGAGGGTTTAAGGGGGTAGAGGGTTGAATTGTGTTGCTCTCAAACTCTATTTTTCAAAATTTTATAGATGGGCCATGAAATCAAAATATTTTAGAGTTTTTAGATTTTTTTAATATTTTTTAATGGTTTTATTTTTCATCTTTTATATTTAAATTATTTTTATATTTCACTTTAGTCTTTAAGTTTTGTTGTTTTATTTTAAATTTTTTAATTATAAATTTTAGACACTTTAATTTTTACAAAAACTTTCACTCTACTTTTATCCCTTAAGTGGAAAAGAATCGCATTGCTTCAATCAATACAATGGAAGTAAGAGAATTACATTTCAACTATGAAGATGATTCATGTCTAATCTTTTGTGAAAAGAGTTTTAAATTGAAAATTCAAGTGGCAATATGATTTAGATGAGGTTGAATCTCTTTTAGTCTTTTGAAATTATTTAATATACTTAAGTGTATTGAATCATTTATTAAAGAAAGAAAGTTTTGAAAATGCAATGCATAAAGTCAAGGTTTTTTATGAAAGAAGTGATGGTTTGAAATTAGGGTTTAAGAATAAACAAGATAAATGAAACATATAAGTATGCAAGAGACACACAATGACATAAAGTCAACAAAATAATCATTTTCCTTGGATTTGACACAAGTATTACAAAGATAACAATCAAAGATTAAATATCACTTATAAAAAAGTCACGACTTAGGCATAAAGGCAAAGGTTCAATCACAAGACAAACATATATCAAGTGAGAATCAAACAAAGAAGGCAAGATACCATGATGTAAGCTTGAGACTAAAGCACAAGTGTGAGAGGTGTCATGGTGAGAACATACTCAAAGAAAAAAACCAATCACCAATATATAATCATGTGAACAATCAAACATCAAGGCATACAAAGTATATGGTAAAGGTGTAGATAAAAGTATATCAACGTGAACATCAAAGACAAGCGATGGAATAATCAAAGGTGAAATAAAATGAAGTATCACAAACATGGGGAAAGTAAAGTCAAAGTCAATTATTAAGCATCTAAGACATATCAAGAATCATATAAACATGGTGAGAATAAAGTATAACTCTAAAGAAGAATCATCGTGAATAAAAGTCAAGAATTAGAAGTATGATCATGTTAAGACAAGTCCAACCCTAAACCCTAAAAGAAAGGTAAGCATGCTTTATCAAATGGGAGTTTATGAAGGAAATATTAAAACATGTCAAAAACATCAATTAAAGAAAGTCACATAATCAAGACATTTAAACATGGTTGAATCAAGACATCAAAGTTCAAAGGAAACAATCTTATGTAGAAAACCCTAATTATACATGTACTAAACATCAAAGTTTCTTTTCAAAGTTCAAACAATTAACCTTAAAGTTTTAACTTAACAAACACTTAAACTAAACATTTAACATTTAATCATAATATGAAAAAAAGGTAAAATCATATTTAAGTAGGCATATTAAAGCATCATGGTATTGAGAAAAAAATTTAAGAAGATTGATCACAAAAAACTTAATGAAAGAAACTTCAAGAGAAATTAAACAAAGAAATATTTTTTTGGTTTTTTTATTAATTGATTTAACATAAACAAATCAAATAAAAATCAAAGATAAATAAGATATATTTTTGGTGTTTTAAAATATTTAAGTTTGACACAATAAAAATCAAGAAAGAAGATCAAGTAAATAAACTAAAACTAAAAGAAAATAAAAGGAAAAGAAGTAGAAACAAAAGAAAGAAAATTAGTGCTAAAAAAAAGAAATGGTGGCCACAGGGGTTGAACTTGTAACATCCCAATTCTACCCCCAAGCAATTATATAAATAAATCAGAGTTATAAAAATCATTCATGCAAACGAATCGGGACGTCACAAATTCTTCTATCAAATTCATTGCATTCATCGTGGATATATAACACTTTCAAAACATCGGATGAACCATCATCATAACATCTTTAATTAAATAACTTAACATCTACGCAGCGGAATTCTTAATAACATCTTTAATAACAATACAACAACTTCAAAACAACACATATTTAATAATAATCAACTTAAAGTTCAACAACTGAAAATCAACAATCAAAAACAGCAAGCGTTCATCTCCCCGAGTGTTACATATCAGAGCAATGACACCGACTCAAACTATTGAAGGTATACAACCTTCACTCTCGATTATCTGCATGTTACCAACATAAGGGCAGCATTCAAAAAGAAGGGGTGAGATATCCAATAATATAATAAAGCGCGTGATAATTAATATATTAAATTAGATCAATAACAACATCACTTCTCATCTCATAATCAACAATAATTACAATGTATATACACATTCATCAACATCAAAATACACTTCTTTATGCAATCATATAATGCGACTCAATACTATACAAATGCATGTGGTACCATTGGAGCAGAACTCCCATCTCAAAAAAAATTGCCAATTAATAGAGGCATCAACAAGGCATAAGCCTTCATCTCAAAATTCGCTAATACATGCCATCTCAATGAGCATGAGCTCCATCTCAAAAATGTAATGTATGCGACACAACCATGAATGTAATAACAACACCCAAGTTAACAACATCTCAAATTAACAACATCTCAAAAGCATCTCAACGTCTCATCATCAACATCTCATATCATCATAATAATTCATCAACATCATTTATTTATTATAAATCATCAACACAACATCATTAATGACTTCTCATTAACAACTCAGTTGTACATTAATTCCACAGTAATTCATACTGCTATTCTGTAAATCTTACATCATTACCATCACTATTCTTACTGTTATAGTTAAAACAATACTCTCTAAGCATCTAAACTTCATCATTCTATACGAAACCAACACAACTTCTGACAACCACAACTTCTGACAACACAACTTCTAACCAACACAACTTCTGACCAACACAACTTTTGACAATGCAACTTCTGACGACACAACTTCTGACCAATACAACTTCTGACCAACATAACTTCTGACAACACAACTTCTGACAACACAACTTTTGACCAACACAACTTCTGACCAACACAACTTCCGACAACACAACTTCTGACAACACAACTTCTGACATCACAACTTCTAACCAACACAACTTCTACCATCAGAACTTCTACTTTTTACTAATCCAACGTAACTTCTAACCAACACAACTTCTACCATCAGAACTTCTACTTTTTACTAATCCAACGCAACTTCTAACCAACACAGCTTCTACCATCAGAACTTATACTTTTTACTAATCCAACGCAACTTCTAACCAACACAGCTTCTACCATCAGAACTTCTACTTTTTACTAATCCTACTATTTTAATTCTTAGCCTGATATCAACTTAACTAAAAACAGTATGACTAACTCTATCCCCAATTTAATTTATTGTTCTAATACAGCAGCACCTGATATCCTTCCGGCATAATTTTGCGTTTTTCTTCCCTGCACCTCACTACGGGATTCATGCTTAAAGCCCTAAAACTTAATATATTCATGACAATTCATCACCTGTAATCATCCTATAATACTACATCGATCAAACAACATCATGATATCATTATTCATCTAAAATTCATCAATTCTCATTATACAACAATCATATATTTTCAATTCAAGAACAAGACAACAATCACCTCTAACCCCACATATCAATCATCATGAACCAAATTATAGAGTCAGAACCCCACCCTTACCTTGGATTGAATGTCGCTTTACAATTTTCCGATCGAATTCTCGTTCTGCCGTTATTCCTCTTTTTCCAGCAACTTCACATTCTCCTCTCAATCCTTATTCTTCTACTGCTTCTTTCTTTCTATTCTTTCTAACAACAATAAAATAACCCTATTATTCTCTATTCCTTATTGGGCTTAAAACTAATACACCCCCTTATTACTTCTATTCCTTTAAAAACAAGCCCACATCAAATAATATTATACTTCTAATATTATTTCACCACTTAATAAAATAATTAAATCCAATTAATCACAACACAACTTCAAAAATATTCCAAAAATAATTTAATTAAATTACGGGCGTTACAGAACTTACGCCCTTGGAACCACCTGTTCAAAATTTTAGCCATCAGATCATGCGTTGCATGGTGTTGATAACACACAACCATGAAATAAATATGAAACAAGTTGTTAAGTGGATAAAACACAAAATAAACAAAACAAAAGGTCTGAGACAAGGGGGATTCAAACCCCAAACCTTTCGCTTCACACACAAACACACAAGATCAGCGCATTAACCACTAGGATGTAATGCCAATTCATTTATTAAACAACTTCAAATAAATATAATATAAACTAAAGTTTAAAATATGAAAAAGGGCATCACTCAACATCTTCTTCAACCTCACGACAACCATCAATGGTTGGTTTGTGATTCCTTCATTTCTCAACCAAATCAAAAAATGTAAAAAGCTAAGTTGCTTGAAATTTCACAAAGATTTCAGAAATGTGCTTAAAATTAATTTATATCCACTGTATCAAATGAATTTCAATCAAAACCATAGAAACCCTAAATATTCAAAGTAAAATTAAATGATACACGAGCTCAACCAATGCCTATTTTCATAATGCTTCAGTTCATGAGACTCAAACAAACACAATGGTATCAAGAAATACTTGAAATGATGCTTGGAATATGGAGTTAAAAGTACATGAAATCTTACCTATTGGAGAAAGATTCAGTGCTTGTTTCAATGCTTCTAAATGAAAGATAATGATCACACTAGCACCCTTGATGCTCCAGGAATATATTGCAATTGATGCTCCAGGAATGCTTGAACTTTATTTGTAAAATAGAGCATGATAGATCACATTAGACCTTGAAATGATGTTGTCTTAAAGCACACTCAAAGATGGAGTTTAAGTCTCAATGAAACTTGTTGAAGAAGGCATGAAAATAAACACATGAACCTATGAGAGAACTCTTTGAACCAAAAAAGCTTTGATATCATAGACATAA